TTATAGACGTTAACCCCATCTATAAAGCACCTTCATAGCAAAAGTCTTACCATTGCCCCAATCCAGTCTCCATCCTACAGAGAGACCTCTTCCTAAAACACATTTGACCATATGACTCTTCCACATTAAAGCCTTCAGTGGCTTTGTGTTTTCCATAGAATCATTTCCATTTCCTGACTCCTAAACAAAGCTTATGCGACCTCCAGTCCACCCTTCCACACTGATCTCCAGCGACTTCCCCTTGCCTCCATAGCCTCTCTCCAAGTTCCAGATGCACCACACCCCTCTCATCTCCTGTCCTCCCCAGGGTTGTGTGGGGACACTCCCACCTGGAGCTCCTTCTTCCCTGACTGAGTGAGTCGGGAGCTGTCTGCACTCTGTGGACCAGCAACATACAGAAAAGATACCAATACATGAAATGAATGAAATACTTACGTGACACTTTCTTTAAAGGTCCAACACGTTTCCTACCTAGCCAGATACTTTTCCACACCTCTTTAACCTATGAAGAAGTAAATTCTGACCACTTAGTCTCAAAATATACCACTTGACTGGCACCAGCCCACCACGAACTGGTCCTTTTCCACCATTCTGTGGATCTCCTTCCTGCTTTCCTTCACCACCTACTCTGTTTCCGACGATGTCGGGCTATTATAACCATTTTAACTCAAGGAATTATAGGGAAAAGGAGGTAATTCAGTAAGAACTAAGGCAAGAAAAAGGAGAAGAGCGATTGGAAATAGGGCCACCGGTGACCAAGAATAAAATGAAGACCAAGTCTGGGGCGGGGGGAGTTAGTCTGACTGTCTCAGGCAAGAGAGGTCAGAGAGGAAAACGGCTAAAAACATTGACCTCAGGGCCAATAAATATTGAAAGGAAAACGGAAATAGCAAAGCATAGTGGCTGAGAGGGCAGGTTCTGAGGTCAGAGTTGGGCTAACCCCTGTCTACCTTGGGTAACTTATTTTTTTTTTCCTCGATACTCGTCTGTAACATGAATTATTGCATCTGACACGTGGTAGCTTCTCAATCAATGCTAGCCGTTCCTACGACTAACACTGAATATAAAGTGAGGGCAGGGGATAGGGTGGGGACAAACCCACAGAGCTCGGGCTTGAGAGCAGAAATGGCTTTACCCGTGGGACTACAGATGCCAGCGACCCCAGTCCTTGCTACTCAAAGTGCGATCCCTCAGACCAGCCACGTGGGCATCACCCAGGAACTTGTTAGAAATGCAGACTCAGGCCTTCCCTGGGCCCTTTAAGTCAGAATCCGTATTTTAACAGGATAATCTGCACCTGACAAGTGACAGACAGAACTGCCCCAGGTCCTGTTGCTTATTTGGAAGACCCAGTTGTAGACGGGCAATGACTGCAGCCAGTTACAATTTAGAGATAGACTTACTGTGTGAGGTAACCAGGGAGACCCCTACCCAGTCCTTGGCAACGCTCCAGGGTATTTGGGTGACTATTCTCTTAGATTAAAGGGGAGGAGTTGGGTGGGAGACTTATGAACCGAGGCCATAAACTCAGGCCGGCTGCACAGTGTCAGGCGGGCTTACGTGGCCTGAACACAGAAGCCGTGCGTGGAGGGGACCTGTACAAGGGGACAATAGGTGGGAGAGAGGTGACTACCAGGATCAGAGACTAGGCAAATTGAGAGCGGGGAGAGATGGTGAAAAGGGCTGTTTTCCTGTGCCCTCCCTTACAGGCTGCGCGCCCACCCCACACTACCCTGTCCCACCGAAAGCACTCCCTTGGTCCAGCCAGACCCTCTGAGCATGGCCTGCCCTTCCTCCATAACCTCAAGTCCAATGAGCACGACTGACAGAGGCAGCCTGGGCAAGGGGCAGCACCCAAGAAGGGTTGCATCACTTTCCAGACATCCCTGAAGGCTTAAAATACAGTTTGTAGAGAGCAGAATCACCTTCAATTTCTAGAAAGGCAAAGTAAACGTTACCTTAAAAATCAAAGGATTAATGCAGACCAACTTGGCCAAGATAAATTCCATCACACACAGATATCCCCTAGCAGGGGAGTGAGCAAGGATTCTGCAGGCATCTGAAAAAGTCCAGTGACTTCTCTTCAAGACTGCGAATAGCCCTCAACCTTCTCCACTCTGTATTTAAATCCACAGTCCTCTTTCTTTATCAGTCTTTTCAAATAATCTAACATCGCTTTGCACCCCTGAATCCAATCCTGTATTTCTTGTTTTGGTGGTTGATGTGTTTGTCCATAGAGAGAAACACATATTCCTCTTAACTCCTTTCTTCATCCCTGCTTCTCCTGATCATCATATTCCCCTCCCCGTGGATTCTGCCTCTTTAAAACTCTCTGGGCCCCTTTGCTGTGCTGAAGAAGACTCCTACTCACCAGTGAAAGTCAATGAACGTCCAGGGATTTTGCAAGCTGGATGTTATTTTTTTTTTTTTCAACATTTATTTATTTTTGGGACAGAGAGAGACAGAGCATGAACGGGGGAGGGGCAGAGAGAGAGGGAGACACAGAATCGGAAACAGGCTCCAGGCTCTGAGCCGTCAGCCCAGAGCCTGACGCGGGGCTCGAACTCACGGACCGCGAGATCGTGACCTGGCTGAAGTCGGACGCTCAACCGACTGCGCCACCCAGGCGCCCCTGCAAGCTGGATGTTAAACATAGCCGTTGTGAAAAATCAAATTACAGAAACTTCCAATTAAATAAATTATATTAGGGGTGCCTGGGTGGCTCAGTCGGTTGGGCAGCCGACTTCGGCTCAGGTCATGATCTCGCGGTCCGTGAGTTCGAGCCCCGCGTCGGGCTCTGTGCTGACAGCTCAGAGCCTGGAGCCTGTTTCAGATTCTGTGTCTCCCTCTCTCTGACCCTCCCCAGTTCATGCTCTGTCTCTCCCTGTCTCAAAAATAAATAAACATTAAAAAGAAAAAAATTTTTTAAATAAATTATATTAATAATATATTCAATATATTTCCTAATTGTTTCACTACATTTCATTATTGTCCATGCTCTTCAGCTCATTTAAATCAATTGCATTTGCGTGGTGGAAATACTATATAATGGTGTGCTAATACACAGCTCTTCAAACTTTGCATTCAGTGATATCACACTGGGAGCTTGGAATTGACCATAGAGGCAATATTCACACCACAGAAATTGACAGAAGCTACAAAGCAGGGCTTGGTTTGTTGTTTTGTTGATTATCTAGACTTAAGAAAGTGATGGAGAAAATGTTAATAATTCAGATTAAATCTAAAAGTGTGTTGTGTCTACAGCTGTTATATTGTGAATAGTGCAAAAATTGAGGAACTATTCTTCCAGAATTCAAAAATTATGATCCAGTTCAGCAGTTCCTCCTGTCACGGAGAAATGAGCAAAGTTAAAACATTCACGTTCATTGCTTAACTTTCTTCTGACTTGTCAACGTAAACAAAGATATCAGCCAACATTCATGTTGGAACTATACCCAGTGGTCCATTGCAAACATAGACTGACTAAGGATGTAAGAGTTCAGCAAAATCAATGTTTGCATTCTGTGTGAATCTATTGGCTGTACGGAACTTGCAAAAGAGACTATGCTGTATTTTACTACTTATAAATTGTGCAACATGAGCATCCTTCATATAAATAAAATTTATAACAAACCTATATTATGTACATGTATGCATGTTTGTTTATCTTTCTTTTCACACTGCTGGCAGCCCTTGCTTGACAGGTCTATACATCCCCAAACTGTTTCCTTAGGTTAGTCTATCTGTCAACTTTCCAGGCTTCATCCCCTCCAACCCAACATGTATATTACTACCAGAGTAATCTTTCTAATATTTAAATGCAATCATGACAACCCCTCATTAAAATTATCAATGGCTTTCCGGAACTTTCTGAATGAAATGCAAGCCATAGAAGGCTTTCCTTGCTCTACCCTATTCACCTATGCAGACTTCTTTCTTATCAGATGCCCACACTCACGTCTCACTACAGTTATGCCAAACTGCCTGATATTCCCAGAACATGCTTTACTTATTCATGCCACTGGGCTTTTGCACATGCTTTCCTCTGCCTGGCATAGCTTGCCCCAACCCCTCTCCTCCTACTCCTGCTAGTTCCCACCCAGCATTCAAACTGCTCTCAAACATCATCTCTTCCGGGAGCCTACACCACTGCAGCACTTGCTGCTGCCACACAGTCACCTTGTAGGCTCACCTCTTTTGGCTCCTGCGCTCACCCGGAAGAGCCTCTGAGCAGAGAGAGGTGTCCCTAGTACTTAGCACTTGGCTTGGCAGCCAGGAGATAGGTGGTAAGTGCTTGCTGAATTGATTACTTTGTCCATTTCAGCTCTAATCTGTAGCAAATGACAGGATGTAGCCAGGAGAAATATGCATACCTCATCTCTGAATTTGTTATTTAAAAAACAAAAGCCAGATGAATCATTGATACTTTTATTCCCCATTGTTTTGTGGAAGTCAACCGGATAAAACCTGAAACTCTTTACTCTAAAGCATTGACCTTCTTTAAGCATAACCAAATTACTCATTTCTGAAAGATAGTGAGTTATCACTTACTAAGAGCTACGTCTATGCCTCAAGCATGTGCTAAGTGCTTGATATATGTCACTTCGTGTATCCTTAATCGCCCTATAATGTAGGTATTTATTATCCCCATTTTACAGATGAGGAAACTGAGTCTCAGGGAAGTTGCCTTTGCTTTGAATATGAATTCACTAAAAGATGCTGAATAGCAAAGCAATGACTTAAACAAGGGTTGGTCTGACTCTAAACCCCATGTTTCCTCTGCTGAGCCCATTCTTACTGCTTTAAAGCAAATTCACCATTTGAATCAGGTCCCACTAGTAGCCTGGAACAAATAACACTCCAAATAATACCACAGAGTCACTAGCACAAGACTTAGTCCAGTCGTGTTCTCCTTATTCCTGATACCCAAACCAGTGAATGGATTTGCCCTTCCCCCGACCCAGATTTACAGAAGAAAAGTGAACAACACGGAGAAATACCTGTGTTCTGAGTCAGAGGTTGCATGTGAAATTCTCTGTGATCGTGATCGGGTCTAGGCCTCCATCACAGACAATTTTCCAACAATGAGCAGGGATCTCGTTCACCTCTCTGCTGAGCTGCCACGGCCACGGGCTCTGCCGCCTCTGTTTACTGTTTGTTACTAAGCACTTGGCTGCCCAGCGAGTGAGTCAACAGGGCCTTTCCTTTCCTGCCACTGGCTCTCTTGCCCTGAGCCCTGTGCAGTCTCCAGTCGCAGGCAGAGCCATCCCGCCATGGCTTCGTCCCCAAGGCCGGTGACCTGTGAGAGAGCTTGTAAAAGCTCAACTGGATTAGGTGCCACTGAAGACAATAGGATTGTGGCTCAGCAGGGGCTTTTACACTGATGTCACTTTATCTCCTGGTCCAATCAAAAGAAAGAGCCCTGCGAAGAACCAGGGGGCCCACCAAGAGCCGAGTCTTAGTTTCATTAATTCAGCAGCCCTCCATGCCCTTTAACAGAGGCAGACTTTAGACTTGTACCCAACGGGGCAGAGTAACATGCAAGATCGTGATGAGGAACCGTGACCTGGAGCTGCCAGCGGGAAGGCAAGAGGAATGCCTTGATCACAAGAATCACAAGAAGGTTGTGATTTTTACACACACACAAAAATAATCCTCACAATAATATAAATAAATAAAGGGGCAGAAGGAAACTTTTGCAGGTGACGGATATATTTATGGCATAGATCGTAGTGAGGGTTTCACTGGAGGATATTTATCTCCAAACTCATCCAATTAAATCCATGAAATATAGACAACTCTTTTATGTCAGTCATACCTCAATAAAATGTTTTGTTTTGTTTTGTTTTGTTTTGTTTTGTTTTTCAAAGAAGGATGTGTTTGGAGAAGGAAGAAAAGGAATTCCCACACTCTCTGGTATTTGGATGCAGAAAGGAACCAGCAGAGAAGGATAGGAAGAATTGGATCACAGTTCTGCAGAGGTAAGAGTGAAAGAATGGATCTTTGGAGCCCTCTAGATCAACAGCAATTTCAAAACTGAAATTTTTGTTTTTTTTTAATTTGTTTATTAATTTTGAGACCCAGACAGAAAGCGAGCGAACAGGGACAGAGCAGAGAGAGGGAGAGACAGAATCCCAAGCAGCCTCCATGCCATCAGCTGGGCTCACACTCACATACTGTGAGATCATGACCTGAGCCAGGATCACGAGTCAGATGTTTAACCAACTGAGCCACCCAGGCACCCCGCAGAACTGACTTCCAAAAGAAAATGAACATTTTACTTCACACATTGACCAAAAAATAAAATAGTGACACTTGATGAAGCCCAGTGCAGGTGAGGGCATGGTGGATGAGCAGTCCCATGTCGGTAGTGGTAATGTACGTTAGCATACCCTCTCCGTGGGGCATTTGGTAATATTCATTAAAGCTGTAACTGCGCACATTATTTGCCAACCCAGTTGTGGGGAACTGACCCCGTGAACATGCTTGCAAACGTTCACCCACGCATATGAAAAAGGATACTTATTGTAGTATTTTGTTGTTGTTGTTGTTGTTGTGGGGAAAAACTGAGAGCCACCAAAATGTCCATCAATAGTGGACAGGTAAGTAAATTGTTGTTCACACACAGTGAAAATCCAGCTACACAGCTGTGCAAAGGAGGTGGATAGACCTGTGTGTGCTGGCATTCAACACTTGCCCCAAAAATCTTTCAAAACACCACAAGTGTGGATTCGCCCTGTATAATTCCTCTTAGTGTAAATGAATATATATATATATAATGTTCTTTACATATATATTATATTACATATTCAATTATATGTATTACACATTCATGTATAGTCTTAAGGAGGAATCACTAGAAACTTAATAGTGTTTGCTTTGTTGAGACCATTTTAAATGCTGTTAGTCATTAGTTATGACTTAATCAGGAAAAATATTGTCCATGTTTGGACTTTCCCCCTGTACCCTGTGTTATATAGGTGTTTTTTTAAGTGGTGAACATTATATAATATCTTACAAAATTTATGTTTTCCGGCTCAAACCTACTTGCATTCCACACTAGGCTAGTAACACACTTTATGATCATCGCAATCATCTTGTGCTGTTTCTCCCAAATTCATCAATTCATTAGATTCAGAATGGATCTTGGTAACATGTAGATTTCCAGCACCACCCCAGACCTGCTGACACTGAATCTCTGAGAGAGAGCCAGGGGATCTGCATTTTAGCAAGTGCCCAAGTAGTTTTTATTAATTTGTTCAGGCCAACCATGTACAGTGGAAGAAAATGAGTCCCAGAGGGAGAATATGAATACTTCCAGTCATGGAGCTGTTTCCTGGCAGAACAGAGAGTAACATCTAAGTCCTTGACCCCCAGGAACATGCTGGTCTGCTTAAAGTCACCACTGCCTTCACCCTTTTTGTCACAAATATTAGCACTCGGCTGCAATTTCCTCCTGTACCTATTTCTGCCAAGATTTCATTCATTCAAATTAAGGCAAGGAAAAACCCTAATTCAGTACTGAGATTTTCGAATTTGCATAATTTTAGAAAATTCAACTGCTTCACTTTCAAGAACCATGTTTATTCATATTTAAATACAGTTCTTTATTTTTTTTATTTTAATTTTTTTTCAACGTTTTTTATTTATTTTTGGGACAGAGAGAGACAGAGCATGAATGGGGGAGGGGCAGAGAGAGAGGGAGACACAGAACCGGAAACAGGCTCCAGGCTCTGAGCCATCCGCCCAGAGCCCAACGCGGGGCTCGAACTCACGGACAGCGAGATCGTGACCTGGCTGAAGTCGGAGGCTTAACCGACTGCGCCACCCAGGCGCCCCTAAATACAGTTCTTTAAAGTAGGATGTAGAATCGAGCAGGATTTAATACTAAGACCAGTTCCCACTTATGCCCCTTATTTTATGCTTGTTGCCAAGGATATGTCCAATGTCTACAGTGTGGTATATTGCAAATCACCTACATCTAAAGTGATAAAGTTTTATTATTCTAAACAGAATCCAAGATCTCTCATACATTGCTGGGGAGAATATAACAAGGGTACAGCTATCCTGGAAAAGAGATTGGCAGTTTCTTTAAAAACTAAACATATTGTTGCCAGTAATTGAACTCCTAGGCATTTTTCCCAAAGAAAAAAGCTTCTGTCCACCACACAATTTGTACATGATTGTCAGCTTTATTTACAATGGTCAAAAACTGTTAACAACCAAAATGTCCTACACGAGGTGAATGGTTAAGCAAAGCGTGGAGCAGTCATACCACAGAAACCTACTCAGTAATAAAAATGAATGAACCACTGGTACATGCCACACTTACGTGAATCTCAAGGGCATCAAGCTGAGTGGAAAAGCCAATTTCAAATTGTCACATACGGTATGTCTCTATTCATACAACATCCTTGCAATGACAAAATTATAGAGATGGAAAACTTATTAATGATTGCCAAAGGTTAGAGATTGTGGAGGGAGGGGTGATTATAAAGGGCGAACACAAGGAGACCTCTGTGGTGACGGGAGAGTTCTGTGTCTTGCTCTAGGTGGTTATGGAGGGGAAGTGCAGCTCTGTCCATCCCCAACCCCCTGGCCTGACTCTATCTCCGGTAGCTTTAGCTCACCTGGCTGCCTCTGCAGGGTCCAGTTGTCTTTCTTGCCCCTCTAACCACTTCCCTGACAACCTACCTCTTCTTTGAGACACAGGACATGATGCCCTGCTACCCCTGCTGCCATCACCTACTGACTCCTAAGTCCACCACTGAGACCACGGCAAGAAGGCCAGCTTCGTCCTCGTCTGAAGGCACCCCTTCCCCGTGAGTGAGAAGTGCATGGACCGAGGGTTCATGTTGACCAGCCCCTGTGTCAGCCCCCTGGGCTTTGTTCAAGGTGTCCTGCCCAACCAGCACTGAGCCTCCTCTCAGGGCTTGTGCAGGCCTCTCCCAGTGTGGGCGTGGCTGTGGCTTGGATGTGAAGACCAAAACCCCCTCACAACGTGAGGCAGAGCCTGAAGAGGAGTGGCCATGGCCTGGGACTAGAAATTCAAAGCAGGTGTCCCAGAGGCTCAGAACTTTCATTTCAAATTTAGTCTTGCAGGAAGTTACAAAGTTACATTCTTCGGGGTTAGAGGACAGAAATGCTTCATTTAAACCTGGTGGTTTCACCTATAACTTTAAAATATTTAAACTTAAGGTATGTGGGCCTCCATTTATATTCTTCCCCTGGGCCCTGCAAAAGTTAGGGACGGGCCACTCTTATTCACTGATAGTGTCAGCTCTGGGCTTTCTGTGGTCTCTCCTGCTATCTTGCTGACCTCAACAAATCCTTGACCATGTCACTTCCCCCGCCTCACCCCACCTCAGTCGCTGCACTCACACTGTAGCCTTTGTCATTACAAGTAATGGTGTCCCTTCCAAAACTTACCTTTCAAATATCCTAGGCTCAGACACCCACTGACACTTATTTTTCCCAGCTAATTTCTTCAAGTTACCTCCATTCTGACACATTTTTGTGCCCCTGAAGACCTGCCATCCATTGGCCTTACCACCTTTTCACCGATCATCAGTTTTTGTCCCTCATTATCCAGTTTACAGTCCATGGTCCACGAGGCAGAAATTCTTGCTAGCCATCCAACAAAATGTGTTCTCCCCTTCCTCTGCAGCATGCATCTAGACTACACTTCCCAGCCTCCTTTGTGGCTGGGTGGAACCATGTGATAGAGTTCCTGCCAATGGAAAGTGAGTGGACAGGATGTGTGCACCCCCCACAGCAGGGGGTGCTGGAATGGCAGTGAGGATGACGACTTCAGGGAACTTGGAAGCCATAGATTATAGACGGCAGAGTCCCATTCAGTCTGGGACCCTGACTTCCACCCACCTAGAAGACTTTCCCTGGTGTGCTAAGAAGGAAACAAACATGTCGTTTAAGCCATTGAGTTTTGCCACATCGGTTACATTAGTATAGCTTATCACTAAAATTTCACATGCGTGTAAGTGGAAGCATGAGCTACAACACGGCACGATGATTAAGAGATGGATTGTTGGACTAAAACCACAGGGGTTCAAATCCTGGCTCTGCCACCTACTGGCTTGGCTGCTCTCTCTCTGCTGTGTTTCCTTATCTGTGAAGTATAGATGATAGTACCTGCTCATAGGTCTGTTCGAGAGGGAAGCAAGTGGACACATGTCCAGGGTGTAGAGCGATTAGACCACGGCCTGACGCGGTAAGCGCTGTGTGTTTGCTGCTGTGGCACGCACCCCTCTGCTTCTCTGCTTCCACCTACTGCACCCCTACGTCCACGCAGCCGAAC